AAATATCAAAAAAAAAAAATAAAGGAAATAAGGAAAACACAGTTCTTCACAATACTTGTTAAAGAATTTAAGTTATTACTTAATATTGGATGGGAGAAGGATCCAACTGGGGCAAATTCTACTTGAATTTGCAGGTTAATTATATTACTGTTCTCTCTCTCTAAGTTACTCTAACTTTAACTTGGGCCACACACCTCACACAACCAAGGGACAGGGCTAACCTTTACGATGGTAGGTTGTCCTGGAGTCAGCTCCGGATATGGTAAGGTCACAATGGTGCCTTCCAAATAGCGACTGACTCCAGGATCCAAGTCTCCGGCTAATATCCTCGATACCTCTGGGAGGAGCCAGGGTACCTTCCTCCCAAAATCCGAGGTTCGGATTGGATATTCGACTTGGCCCCCTTTTGTCCCATTGGCTACCCTTTCGGTGTTGGCCTCGACTTAATTTATTTAAAGTCATCACGATGGTGTGACTTGCTCATTATCTTAATGGATTTGGTTTTATGTGTTTGCCCCAGTTGGTTACAGGGTTGTCCCATCCCTACACTGATAACATTTCATTATTCTTTACTTTATACTGAGTATTAGGCCAAATCAGGTATTTTTCCTTAATTCCTTATAATATCGTCAGTAATTAAGTTATCAAATCAGCTTGAAATAATCAAAACACTTTCCTTTAATATGCAATATTAGGATTAACAATATACCACCTGCAAGCCAATTTCTCAAAGGTTTTTAAAAAAATTAACATTATTTCATTTCCTTTTGACAGACCGTTAGGAAGGGAAGAGAAAGGTGGGGAAAATATTAGAGTAGAAAAGGATGAGATTCCTGCAACTCTCTTTTCAACACCTCAGGAGGAGTAAACAGTATATTTCCTCCTTCTCTTCTTTTGTAAAAGGGCGGAATACCCCGTTCTTCACAATACCACTCGGGTTGATATTCAGGAATTGTTCATTGAGTATCTATGGCCTAATAGGCGTTTAGGGGAACAGAATTTTGACTTTTTGCCCCATATCCATTTCCTGGTTCTCATTATTATTGACTTCTTTCCAAGCTGGTTGTCACAATAAAGTAATTGTATATTTAAGGAGTCAACGGAGTCATTATAAACCTCGAACACGCTGGCGATCTCTTCGTGATAGTCATAAACGTTAAATCACGTTGGAGCCGCCTACATAACCACCTCCACATACCACTCTGCATCAACCTTCTGGCCATTACGATGAACGAACAATGACTGATACCAAAGGAGTATACGCCCCCGTCCGCTTCGAAAATATGCAGCAAACATAAAGAACTCAAGGTAAATAATTTGCAGTAAGATAAAGTACGATTGGTAAAGGGATAAAGTTCGAATTTCGAAGTGCCACGCTTTGAATCAATAATAGGAGATGCCTTACTTCATCAGAGACCCCTCAACTGGATTAATTCAATTTCCAAGCGAGTTCCTTCTCGTCGCATTCATGAGAGACAAATAGTTGAACTTTCGAAGACATTGAATAAGGGATGATTTTGAGCCATTCACAAGGTGGAGATTTTTTAGCCATTCACTATTCAACCGACCCAACCCCCGGAGCGGGCGGGCAGCTCGTTTGCCAATCAAGGTTCTAGTTTGGTGTAGGCGAAAACGCTTTCAGAGGGTCTTTTCCTCCAGTCGTTTACAGCTGCTTGCGGACCGTTGTGACCTATGACAGCACTAAACAAACCACCACGAATGTGACGTCATGGGATAGCTGGAAACGTCAGCAAAGCCGACTAGAAGAAGAACAAACCCAGAGACCCAGATTTTTAAAGCTTAAAGGCCTAAGCAAGGTGCGGCTGTCCCAATCGGTCCGACACAACCAGCGGGATGGTAATCAGGTAGGCTCACGATTCGAATCGGGCAATCAGCCCATCTACCCCCCATTTAGGCTGACTTTCTCGCTTTTTTGGCCAAATATAGAAGGAATGCGGCTCGCTTGATCTGCATTCATCCTGTTTTCTCTTAGGTTAGTTAGTTAGGGTATATAGCAAAGACTCAGAAGCACTGAGTGAAAAATTTTCAGGGCAGAGCATTCGGGTGACTGAGTTTTTCGTTTCTTGCCTGTTTGCCCATCCTACGACACATTCTTCTTCACATTAAAATTGCTTTTTTCCTCATCTTCCTCAGCTAAAATAAACACCATCGCAATCATGCAGGATTCACGAAATCCCGAAGAGAAAGGCCACACCAAGGACTTTCTGAATTCTTGCTACCAAGAATCAACAAATCGGAATGCAAGAATCTCTTTATGTTACATTCAGACTTTCCGATGAAACTGCAAGGTTTCAAAAGTTTGTTTATGTAGTGAGTCTTTACGGACAAGTTTTTCCTGAATGAAGCAAGTATCAAGTTTTCGGCAATGGGGGGCGCAGAAGGAAAACTACACTGAAATGTTAGGAAAGTGATGTAATTTATTTTCATTTACAAATACCCCACGGTTTAGATGTCACAGAAAACATTATAGGGAAGAATCCGGTTGGTGGAACACTACTTCAGAAGTTACGGACAAAGACGTCCATGCCTTTGTAATGAATGAGAAAACAAAATGCAAATAAATTTCTATATTACATTCCAAACAGCTAAGCATTGTTTTTGAGTCTGTCCACGCCAAGTGGTCCTAGAATATTTACCCGGAAAATTTCCTAAATGTGCAAATATCACTTTCGCTACATAAGTTCATCATCTCATTTCCCAGATGACATAACTGAAAGAGACTATTACGATGAAAAATGAAATAATCATGAATATGATTTTCATACCACTCTCATGACACTCAAAAATATGATGACTATTCAAATCTGGAGAGACTGAATTAGACAACTGGAACAGATGTCAACATGGGTTTTCCATGCATACTGCTAATTTTAAGTCAGCTCAGATGTGAAGAGCAGATGTCAATTGTTCACATTTGAATGTTACATTTAAAATAAATTTTATATACATGGGTCGATCGGAAAGTTCTGGCCGTTTCGAGAATTTTCTAGAAAAAAACTTTCTGGAACTTTCTCGAACCTTCCACGGTAGCAATATATAACGGGTGTGTGGGCGTGATTACGCAGCAGTTTCTTAGGGGTGGCTCCGGCTCCAGGGCACCGTCATGTTCGATCCCTTCACAACGCAAGGCTGCATGTCGCGAAGTTCACAGGGCAGGAACTGCTGGATGTGGGCTGGGAGGTTCTGCCTCACCCTCCGTATCGCCCAGATCTGGCGCAACCGACTACCATCTCCTCCGCGCTCTGGACAACCATATTCGCCAGAAAAGGTTCAACGATGACACCGAGGTCGAAAACTGGCTGACTGATTTTTTCGACTCACAGCCAGCTCAGTTCTACAGGGATGGAATCAGGAGTCTGCCTGATCGTTGGCAGAAGACTGTGATGGCGATTACTTCGTTGAATGAACTTTTTTGATTTTTAAAAGGAACTCGGTTGTATGGAATGTTCGCGAAACGGCCAGAACTTTCCGATCGACCCAATATGTACAGACTCCTTGTTTCAAAATACATTTTTAGAACTTGTCAGATCCGACACTCCTGCCAACTCCGACACCGACGCAAATTAGGTTTACTTTCTGTTTCAAGTGTTGTCACCTTGTGGTAGCTTATACGGATTCCAGTTTTTCATTCAATCTATAGATTGAACATGATCGTAATTTATTAGGATCCGTTCGATGACAGATATGTGAACCTTAGTGGAAGTGACTTTAACTTGTGGTTCACGAAATGTCACGTCTGACACTTTTCTTTGCCCATAGGTTCACTTCTAACGAAAAAGAGAGTGCAAGAATTTGGATAATGGAATTTTTAATCACTACCCAATTGTTGCAGCCTTTATATGCTGATTCGTCATCCATAATATAGTTAAATACATGTTGTATACTAAAAAAATTACTCCGGATGTCACATCTGACACCATGGACAGACCCTTTTCTTTCTCTATCCTACCGGTATTTTCTTCCCATATTCCCAATTTCTCATTTACCAATTTTTTATGGTTTACTTTCACTATCTATAAATTCGCATTTAGAGTTTCCTACTTGAGAAATGCGACAGGGGGGACCATTCCTGCATAAATTCAACTGATTGACATATATGACGTTAACTACTACAATCTTATTTTGTATGACTTTGTCTATGCATATCAACGTTATGGCATATTTTACATTCTTAACAATCGCACATAGGATGTTGTGGTACTGACGTGATCTTTTACGTTAAATATATATTTATTCACAACCTTACACCTTGAATTAAATTTAAATTTCAGAGAGGAACAATTTTGGGACATGTGAAATGGTTTTTATGGGAAAAGGGCATTAAGTCAGGTTGAACATATTACCTCAGAATGCAGACGTGCTGGTATAACCTGATGGGGTTGCCTCGGGACGTAAAAGTTTTCCCATGTCGTTGCACTTTATTGACCATATTCGTGTCCATTAAACGCCTTCATAGGAAATGGGGCTACTGCAATTCGTTTTGAATGAATGAAGTAAAATATGCTCTGGAATTTTCTAGCATAATACATTTCTGTTCTACTTTTTTTTCCTGAGAATTAAAATTGCATTCGAAGTATTAATAGCCGTGGGTGGCGAAAACAATACTCTAGGACCTTTTCAAACCTGATCAGGATGCACGTGGATTCATGAGTTCCTGCTGCTGGGAACACAACGAATCATTTGAACAGGAGGAATATTGAAATCTGAGTAAGAATTGCTTCACATGAAGAGACTCCATCGTTTGCACTTGATTGCCTCTTCCATTATATACGGATGTAGTGGCAAAATATTATCAGGTCCTGGTCTTTGCAGGCACGACCTCAAAGGATTTCTCCCCTAGTTCGTACTTAAGGGTTCTGGACGTCAACATAAGGAAGTATTCACCTTTTTCCTAGAAGTGATCGGTTTCTAGTGACGGGTAAATCCGGAAATGCCTGCTTTGGGTCTAATTATGAGTAACATAACGACAATCGAGAGGACTATGTATCTGACGGGCAGATGGATGTATGGCTCATCGAACGGCAGTTCAATAGATGCACGGACTGTCCCACAGATGAATTGCATACGTTGGACAGGCGGTCAGATGGATGGGTGAAATGAAGATTAGACGAAGCCTCTTTCACTTTCCCACCCCAGCGAAGCCTATAGGTCCCTGTTCGCCAGCGGATAGAGGGCATGGAAAATGCACGCAGGTACACAAAGAGCGAGGAGGATTCTCGAAAAATCCAACAGACTAGGAACTGGAATTTGTTCATTTGCTTGCCTCCTTTATTGACTACTGAGAGGAGGATCCAGTCCAGGATGAGCCATGTTAGGGAATGAAGAAGAATGAAGAAAAGAATATTAAACCCAAAGAGTACGCGAGCAGCCCATGATCCTATGAGACCTATGAACATACACTCAAAAACTGGCTCTAAAACAGTCATATGAGGGGTCATTGCAAATCGTAACTGAGCCCACCGTATAAGTCGTTCATGAAAAGCTGAAATCTGTGGACACCCTGTGTTTTGCCAAGCAGGCTGAGAGGAAATTGTGAGTTGATATCCTTTGGAGCGGATAGCCCGGGCGATGAAAAAGTCTTCTGCTAGGTAGCATGAGAATGTCTGAAGCCCGCCAAGATCTTCAAGGATATTCTTTTTTACAATAAAACTCATTCCAGTGAGACAATTTAAACCGTAGAATTCAGCAAACAGATAGGCACGTGCTTGAACTGTGCCGAAAAACTCCTTCTCCAATGCAGCTGGGAAGCCCTTGCGTTCGCATACATACGGCAATTGATGCACGAGACCAACTCTACCTGTCATGTGTTGTACCATATCCATGAGAGTGTCTACTTTCATTCTAATCCCTGAGTCAGAGATGAGAATGAGGTCGTATTTGGCTGCTTGGTAACCGGGGAAAATGTTGTTGATTTTTGGATTTGCTCCCACTTTCTTTCCGCCAAGAAATACTTGACTATCCACGTGAGGGTACTTTTTTCGTAATTTCTCAACTATCTTGATACTGGGATCTCCTTCTTCATGAATGCAAAAAAGTATCTCGTAGAAAGGATAACTCATGGTGAAGAAAGTTTCCAAATTTAGGATGAGATTGGGGTCGGTGCCAACAAGGGGTTTTAAAATAGACACACCTGGCCAACTGCCTGTTGCTGGAGGAATGGGACTTTTCTCCCTGTGTAGTTTCCACCACCCGTAGCAGATGCTGACAACATGGTAAACAATCCAGTTCCCACTCCAAATGACAAAGAGAACAGCAGCAGCATAGAAATGGAAGTCTTGCGACATGATTATAAATAAATTCTTTGAACAATCTGGGAAATGACTAAGTTTCTGAGGACACATATGGGCTAGACTATCACTATTTGGAAGCGTAACTCCTTGAATGGCGAAACATCTGCAGGATGAGTGGCTTCCTGAGTTAATTACTAACTCTGTGATGATTGGTCGATCTTCATTGCAAAATGAAGATATTGGCTGCGACCTCAATTCGTCCTGGATGAAAGCAACTTTTCTTAGCCCTTCGGCTGCGTCATCCCTATTTTCAGGATATCGAGGAAGTAGGAGAACATGCGATGAATTCAATAGGAAAATGAAATAATGCAGGTAATTTGATGCGAAATCTGTAAAAAAAATATGTTCGAAATTGATAAAACTTCGAATATATAGGAAATTTCTTGAGAAATAAGACATAATATATTTACAAATATTCTACATTTCCTGATGTTGTATCGTAGTTCTTGTTTCTTACCAATTGTTATGCAATTTTACTTCATTTTAGCTGAATTCTCTTAGTTTTACGTTTTATAATGAATTAAAATGCATTTATGATAGTAATGTGAATGTCTTTTTTTAGATAAGGAATACTTATGTGCATACTATACTATTATAGTAAGATAGTAGCAGTTACGATCTAACCTCAATTCCATACAATAATATTCTGCTTGTAAGTTGTCTATGAATACATTATGCTGTAGTGTTTGTATGTCCGCATCGATCTGTGCTGGCGCAGTGAATTTTGTCTAGGTCCGGACATAGAATAGAGTAACGGTGCACGACATACAGGCTACGGCCCCTCCGTGACTGGAGGCGTCGTAAGTGTTCCTACCCGGTTGGATATGGTCAGCCAAACCGGTATGTGAGCAAAAATCGCAAAATTGCTCTCATTGTCTTTTGAGTAGTGCACCCATGGAGTACAGAGTGCAACTAGAGGCATCACTCCTTTCGAATCCCATTCATTCAGAGTCGCAATACAGATGTCGTTGTCGATCCTCCACCTAGCGTGCGCACATCAAGCACGGTCAAGCAGCGGACTCAACAAGACACGCGTATTACCCCTAGTACCACATAGCATTTAATCAACATTGATTCAAAGATGGTTTAACTTCCGCATGTTGAATGAACGTTGAATCAATGTTGTTTTGATGTTATGTGCTCCTAGGGACGTTCATGGACTCCCTTTAGGTGGAAACCCCGAATGAGTCTATTCCAGACTTCGCTAGCACGAAGAACGCCTTGCGAATGTATTTTCGATAACAAGCCCCATATGTCTCTGTAATATTTCTCCCCATTCCCATTACCCGTCTTTAGTTACATTCCCTACTCCATGGTCTTGTTTTCTCGAGCTCGCACTTTCTTTCCAGCTGCTGTGGCTGGGGGATCCATCTTCAAAACGGGAGATAGGGTAACTTGGGGTAATATGACCATTGGCGTAACATGGCCCTTCACAATGAATCCCCTAACAGGTTAATTAGTTTGGACGAATTTAAAAAAGAGTTCTATCAAATAGTACATCCAATTGTCGAAATGTTTAGACCTGTTCATTAATCCAGTTCTCGCTCTAATTCGGGATGCATCGAGTTTTGAAAGTCATATGCACAGTCAGTCAAATACACAGACAAATTCCGTCACGACCGACTCCTCCTTGTTGCGACGGTGTCTGGCTGGCTATTCCAAAGTCTGTGTCAGTCGAAAGCCGTGAGGAAGTGGCTATAGCAGTGTGCAAAGGAGCTCTGCAAGATGTATTCTCTTCAACAAAGAATCGCAATAGTGGAGGCGTACGTGTGTACCATTAAGGAAACGCGGGACATTTTTGCAAGCAAGTTTCCTGGCGTTGGCCTACCAGCAAAGAGCAGTATACAAGATTTGGTTAAAAAGTGGCGTACAACAGGGTCAGTTGCAAACGCAAAAAATAATCGAGCCCCGTCCGTTCGTACACCTGCTGTGATCGCGGATATTCAAGAACGGATTATCAGAAGCCCTACTAAGTCGACACGTAAATTATCGCAACAAACGAATGTTTCGCGCAAGTCTTGTCAACGTGTGTTGCACTCTCTACAGATGAAGCCCGACAGAATGACATGTGTCCAAGAACTGAAGCAGGAAGACAAGGCAAAACGCGTGTATTATTGCACGTGGCTCCTTCAAACAATTGTGAGTGGATTGCTGGATCCCCTGCTGTATTTCATGAGCGATGAAGCTTGGTTCCATCTGTCAGGACATGTAAATTCTCAGAACATCAGATACTGGTCAGTAGACAACCCCCATACAATTCATCAACAACCCCTTCACGATAAAAAAAATCGGAGTCTGGTGTGCGGTGTCTCCAACACGGATTGTGGGTCCCATATTTTTTGAGACAACCATGAACAGTCGTGTGTATATGTGAATCTTTGAGGAATTCTACGCACAATTGACGCCCCATGAACGCGAGTACGCCGTCTTTCAGCAGGATGGAGCGACTTGTCACACTTCTCGTGAGTCACTGTCTGGAATTCAAGACGTATTCACAGAAGAACGAACTGTTAGCAAAGGTTTGTGGCCGCCGCGATCGCCGGACCTATCCACTTGTGACTTTTATCTGTGAGGCAATTTGAAGGGAAAAGTGTATGCTAATAATCCAAAAACATTGGAAGACCTGAAGGAAAATATTCGGACTGAAATTCGGAGAATTGACGCCGCTGAGTTGCATCGCGTGTGTGACAATATGCTGCGGCGTGCACAAAAGTGCATTGACGCACAAGGAGATCATTTTCAGCACCTTCTCTAACCGGTAAGTACAGATCTTTGCATTTGCATTTGTTTAATTTCCTGTAGGGTGTCCGAGACCTACGCCCACGATGGCCTACGAGGCGGGCCGGTTTTTCGTGCGCCACCCTGTATTATTATATACAGGTCCCTTATGAGGTTCTTATTATGCAATATACGAGGTGTGACAATAAAATAACGAGACTGACAACACTGTAATGAGCGTGGCAACGCTAGGTTACTGTCGATTGCTGGAGCCTGTCATTGCATGTCTTAGGTCGGTGCAGTAACAAACTTGTTGTGATACTTCCAGTGATTGGAGAGCATTACCATTTTACCAAAAGTAGTGTTAGGGGCAATCATAAAAAAATGGAGATAATATTAATAGCAAAGAATCAACGGGAAATTTCTAATCAAACACGGAAAAAAAACCAACCACTCAGCATCGAAATTTTGGCAGGTGTATATGGGCCTGTCCACGCCAAGTGGTCCTCTAATTTTCGCCGGATATTTTCCTAAATATGCAAATTTAACTTTCGCTACAGAAGTTCATAATCTCTTTTCCTAGAAGGCATGAGTGAAAAAGAATATTACATTGAAAAAAGAAAGAATTAGACATAATTATGATATATTATTCATGCCACTCTCATTATACTAAAAAAGGGATGAAAATGCACATCTGGAGTTACAGAATTAGGCTACTGGAAGAGATACCAGCATGGGCTTTCCATGTATACTGATAATTTCAAACCAGCTCAGGTGTGAAGAGTAGATATCAATTGTTCACATTTGAAAGATATTTTTAAAATATAATAAATAAATGTGTACAAACTTCCAGTTTCAAAATACATTTTCAGAACATGTCACATCCGACACTTTCCTGTCACATCCGACACCGTCACAAAATAGTCATATTTTCTGTTTCAATTGTTCTCATCTTGGGATAACTTACACTAATTCCAGGCGTTCATTCCATCTATAGAATGGACATGAAACTAAATTATTAGGATCCGCTCGATGACAGATATGTGAACATTAGTGTGAGTGACGTAAACTTGAGGTTCACGAAATATCACGTCCGACACTTTTCTTTGCACATCGGTACACCTCTAACATAAAGGAGAGTGCAAGACTTTGGATTATGGAATTTTCAGTCACCACACAAAGCAAATTGTTACAGAATTTATATGCCGATTTGTCAGTCATAATGAAGTTAATTACATTTTGTATACCGAAAATGTTACTCTGGATGTCACATCTGACACCGTGGACAGACCCACACGTGACTCACTTCACAAGGGGAACCTCCCAAACAGCATGTTTGTTAATTTTATGCAAAATTAATGTAAATTGTTTATCCATTTTATATCATTTTTACGCAAACCATTGTCAAGATAATGTCAACATGTTTGCATAAATGTCACCTCTGTGATACGTAATCGGTGATATAAAATTAACGTCAATTTTACGTAATATTGACATGCCCGTTTGCATTCCCAACGGCATGTTTGTGTTCACTTTATGTAAGATTTATGTTAATTTCCCCCTACCATTCATGTGTCTTTAACGAGCCAATCAGCACCTTCGAAAAGAATTGATATACTGTATTTTCCACTCCTTTCCATACTTCAGTATTGAAGGGTGGTTGGACGAATACACTCACCCTCATCAGCACTCAAGAGTACCAAAATAGCCTACCGCTTCCTCCTTCCATACCGGAACCTCAGAAGGAGGAAGAGATTTTCAGACGAGCTCTCTTCCACCTAGGATAGAGAAGATTTGGTACTTGTGGACCTGGGATTCTACTCTTCCCTAATCCCATGCATTGCTGTAATAAAAATCCTAACTTCAGCATTTAATGATTCCCTGAGTCATATATTGGGTTGGAAAGAAAGTCTTGGAACACTATGCGCAAATTTTTCAAAATTTTTGAAACTTAATTGAAATTCGTTTTCAGTCTACAATGTAATGACCTTTGTTGTCTATGACATGTTCCCAACGCACGGGTAACTGCTCTCCAATCACTGGAAGTATCACAACAAGTTTGTTACTGCACCGACCTAAGACATGCAATGACAGGCTCCAGCACGATGGGGCGAAGAGTTGCTTGTTCGATCGGAGCCATGGCTGCCAACTGATGGCCGAAGCCGCCTTATAAACCCCGAGGGCAGAAGCTTCGAGAACATTCCAGGATATAGAAATGCAAAGCCCGCCAATCATTCCTTTGAAAATTTTTATAAAGAGTTTTAGAAAGTGTTGCA